GAGCCTGGCAGAGAGGAGCGGCGGACGTGCAGCTTGGAGTCACCAAACTGATGCCTAAGCAGTTTTGCCCATCTCCTGGGTCGGGGTTCCATGTTCATCAGCAACCACAAACCAGTCGAGGATATTTTAGGATATTTGTTAGGAAATATAAGTAACTAACAGTTACAGGATAAACCGCAGAGCGCCATGGCAACCCGCTCGTGGAAATGCTAATAACCGGGACGTAAGGTGGGTGATTAACCTATCAAAAGCAGAACCCTAACATTAAGTTGGGTGCAGATCTATGCAGAGAAAAATGAAGTCTTCCCGCCGCGAACGTGCACAAAAGCGGGGCGGCATTAGCGGCCGCAGCCCTGGCAGGGTCGGCGGGCAGGGGGTAGCGGAGGGTGGCCCCCGCTGCTGCCCCCCGCCGCGGCCCAGAGCAGCAGCGGGGGGGGGGGCGATCCCGCTTCTCCCCTTCCCTTTGTCGGAGCGTAGCTGCGTTGTTTGGCTTGGCTTTGCAACGGGAGTTATAAATAAAAATGTCTCACCAAGAGTGCGTGACTCACGATCCTCACCACAAGGATAACCTCTGCTAGGAAACCTGATCCGGGGACAGAGCTGCGGCAGGCAAGAATCAAAGGCATTGCTTAACTAATTCATTTAATCCAAATGGCGAAGGGACGAGCCCCTCACCCCACCTGGGCTGGGCCGCTGGGGAAGGTGCCCGTGCCCCGCGGGACCCCCGTCCTGCGCCATCCCCGACCTCCGGCTGCCGACAGCCCGGCCCTCGACCTGCTCCAGGGCCTAGTGGTTTCCCTCGGACGGCAGCGGGGAGCCGCGGCGGTGGCTGATGTGGCCTCGAGCGGCTCCAGCCTCAGCCTTACCCCCTGCCGCCCTCCAGGGAGGCAGCTCGTGGGTGCTGGCGTCACCTCACCCTGCTCGGACGGGGACAAGCCGAGGCGTCACCGCTCGCACGGCAGACAGCGTCAGCCCCGCGCTCCATCCCACCGCCACGCTCTGCCCGCGGTGATGCCCGTGGTGCCTGGGTGCCGCATCCTCCCGCTGCGCTGCCAGCCCCGAGCCGGAGCCCGGCCCCGCGGGGAGAGGGACGCCCCGTGTCCCAGTGCCCGGCGGGACCTGCTTTATCCCGGGGGCAGGCGACGGCGGGGCGACAGCTGGCTGGGGGATTTGCCGAGGGCATTATTTAATGCTGTGGGTAAATGGAGAAACAGCAGCTAAATCTGGAGCCCATAATCCTCTTCCTCCCCCGGGGATGGGGAGTGTGCCAGGCACGCAGCCGCCGGCGGGCCCCGGGGACAAGCCCCTGGCCGGCCCCCAGGCGTGCCGCGGGCCGGAGCGACTCCCAGACCATGGGTGATGTACAGAAGGTAAGCGGGGTCCGGTGACATCCTGCCTGCGCCGGGGCGGGTGTGCCAGCACCAGCTCCCAGCTGTGGTGTCCAGCAGCCCGGCAGAGCAGGAGCAGGGCTGGGCCTCTCCCCGCAGCGCAGCCGGGAGCTGGCGGGGCTCCCGGGACAGGGATGGCACAGCCGGGGCGGGGGGATTGGGGCTGGGTGGATCCGCGACGGGGCCACCCACGCCTGGACACCTTGGGAGCCGAGCCCTGGCGCTCGCTCAGGCCGTAGACACAGGGTACCCATGGCCAACAGCGCGCCCAGCTCCCCTCTCCGAAAGGAGGGTGCTCTGCAGCCACCCGGCACCCCGCAGGGCTCCCCCAGCACCCCGCGCCCCCAGGGGCTGCTCTCCGTCATCCAGAGGCTGAAGGGTTCCCCGGAGCAGGAGCTCCGCATCATCCTGCTGGGGCTGGATAACGCGGGGAAGACCACGCTGCTGAAACGGCTGGCGTCCGAGGAGGTCAGCACCATCACGCCTACCCAGGTAGGGGCTGCTGGGGACCACGGGCAGCGGGAGGGTGGCAGGTCCTACCCTCCCCTTGGGTGACGCCGGGGTTCATGTCCCCGTGTAGGGCTTCAACATAAAGAGCATCCATTCGCATGGCTTGAAGCTGAACGTCTGGGATATCGGGGGGCAGCGCTCCATCCGCCCCTACTGGAGGAAGTATCTGGGCAGCACCGACCTGCTGGTGAGTGGGGCGGCCGCCCGCAGCCCACCGCAGCCCCGACCGTGCCCTCTGCGCGCGGCCCCGTACCCCAGCAGGGCCCTGCGGCCCCCGCAGAAGGCAGAGGGCTGTGCAGCCGGGCGAGGAGGAGCCGCTGACCGTCCCTTTTGTCCCCACGGCAGATTTATGTCATTGACAGCGCAGACCAGAAGCGTTTCGAGGAGACCGGGCAGGTATGAGAGGTCTGGGTGGGGGGGCTGTGGGGTCCTGGGGCTTGGACCCGGCTCCTTGAGGACTGGAGAGGGGAGCGAGGCTGCTCTCTGTGGTGGGGCAGCACCGCTTTGGGGGCCATGCTGTCCCCAGAGCTATGTGGGAAGGGGTCGTGATTGGGGTCTCAGCACCTAGAGCCACCCCACCCCATGGCAGATCCAAGCCCCAGCTGGGTGCGACGCCCCGGGGGTACCTGAGACGGGGGTGATGCTGCCCCTGGTGAAAGCGACCCCTCAGCCGCCAGCCTCGCCCGCCTCCCCAGCCCCAGCTTAGCGATACGACCGAGCAAAGGTTTAGAGTAGCGAATTCAGAGTTACAAACCCTGGGAACGAAGCCGGGGAGGGGAAGGTGAGACTCTGAGTGCCAGTCTCGGCTCTACCGGCACCAGACGACGGCGTGGGTGTGCCAGACAGCAGCGGGCTGACAGCAGCCTCCTGTAGCTGCCCTTTGCCCAAGGCTCTCACTGATGGGAGTGCTTCAGCCCTCAGGTAGTACCGCGTGCGGCTCCTGGGCTCTCTTCAGGGGTGCGTGTCTCTCCTTTGGGATGTCGAGACCTCCCAGCTCCTTTGGCTGCAACGAGAGCACCAGAGAGAGGGGAGTGAGGCGCTTTGGGGGACTGAGGCGCCCCAGGCGAGCGGCCGGGCAGCAGGGCGGCAGCGGGCAGCAGCCTCGGGAGATGGTTCTCTCTTGGCAGGAGCTGGCAGAGCTCACCGAGGAAGAGTCCCTCACGGGGGTCCCGCTCTTGGTGTTTGCCAACAAGCAGGACTTAGTGACTGCAGCACCCGCGGCCGAAATCGCAGAAGGGCTGAGCCTCCACACCTACCGGGACCGGGAATGGCAGATCCAGGCCTGCTCAGCCCTGTCTGGGGAAGGAGTGCAGGTAGAGAGACGGGGGCCTGCGGGCTCTGCAGAGGCAGGAGGGGACCCAAGGCCCTGCCATGCTCTCGGGGCTGTGCTCACGTCCCTCTCTTCCCTCCAGGATGGGATGAACTGGATTTCCAGCCAGATCATGAACAGGAAGAAGTGAGAGCTGCCAAGTGCCAGACTGAACTGAGCTGCAGGTCCCTAAGCCACGGTCACCCCCCCTGGTCCCCAGACTCCCCCCGAGGGCTCGGCTGGGCCCCAAGCCTCAGACCGCCATGCTCCGATGGGCGTCCTGCCCAGCCTCTCACTAATCTGTCGGCTTCCCCTCTCCCTGCCTCCTGGGCTTCCACGGGCCCCTCGTACCCCCCAGCCCTCCCCTAGCCCCAGCGCTGTCGGAGGGAAGCACGTGTCCCCGTTGTCTCAGGGGCTCGCACACCTCCGGAACGAGAAGCTGCTCAGGACTTGCCCATCCTCACTGCCAGCGCAGCCCGCAGAGCCTGCTGCAGCACGCGTGCTGCCCAGGGCACGCCGGATACCCCACCGCGGCACCGGCTGCGCCCTCAGACGCGGCACGTCCAGCCAAGCGTGGTGTGCATTCCCCTCCGCTCCCGTAGGATGCGTGTGGTGCTGGCCCGGCCATGGCAGCCGGCTCGGGAAGGCCGCGGGTCAGCGTCTTTCGCTGGCCAGAGAAGCTCCTGCATGGGCACAGGACCCGGGATGAGCACGAAGCCACAGCGAGGACCTGGCCACGCAGCCGCCGGTGGAGGGGTCTCATTGCCTGCCGACAGCCTTGGCTGCAGCCACCGAGAGGGGGCTTCTGCTGCCCCACTGGAGCTGGCCC